AGCCATGTCATCCATAGTCTCCAACCATTCATTACGATAGTCCCGCGGACTCCAACCAAGTATTCTGCATCTATCAACATGGTTAAGACTAGAAGTAATGATATGATTAAGAATACTAATAAGAACTATAAATTATTATAAATGAACCAAGGTAGAATTCACTGTCCTATAGATTAAGCAATTGTGAACTAAGCCAATTATTATATATTCACTATATAAGTTAATTAGTCAGAATAACATAGTCTAATTCGATTTCTCTCATGTACTAATTGTGAAATACAGAATATAAAGTTTTGGAATATAAAAAAATTTTACTACTTACATTATCTTTGATGATTTGAAGATAAATAGACCTTCATTTATATACATATATATTTCGAATATTTTACAATCAATTTACTTATGACACATCGGATTTTCCAACAATTCATACCAACTCCTTTATATGTCTATAGATTATAAGGTTAGTTCAATAAATCATAACAAATCGGCTTCATATATTGAATGAATTATTTTAGTTATTCTATAGGTAAACAATTGAGGTGTAATGATTTGAAATTTTTGCCTTTGTTGATATTTATAATTGAATTTTGACTAGTCGTAGTTGGCATATGTATATCCTGTGAGGATTTTCTCAATAATAATAATAACAATAATAATAATAATAATAATTCAAACCAGGACAAAATGGAATAAAAATTCATACCCGTTACATAAGCTAATGATTGTCTAAAATGAATGTCTCCATGAATAACACAATGGCTATTGTGAAGCAAAAGGTATTGTGTTTGAGTTCAAACGTAAACAGCGTATGCGCACGAGACGGATAAATTCTGGGTTCGAATCTCGCAGGGGGCGAGATCGTGGGTGCACACTGCTGAGGCGTTCCCCAATAGGGCGAGACGGCTGTCCAGTGCTTCCAGGTTTTCCATGGTGGTCTAGCTTCAGTTGATTCATAATTTCAACTACTGAAATTACTACAATGTCCACAAAAACCCTAAGGATACTGTTATTATCATAAAGTGTTTAATTTTTGCTAATATGCATTAGGATCGCAAATCTTTACAATATCAAATATCCAAAACTAGAATAATTCATAATGAATACATGAAATTCCAAAATACCAAAGTTGATTCTTTATTTGAATATCCTCATTTCAATCCTAGATCCTACCATATAGACACACTTTTGTCAATCTGCTTGATCTACTCTAGAGCATACAGTTCACTCTAGCTTCAACTGACTCATGATCTCAACCACTGAAATTACTATAGTATACACAAAACCCCTTCTGATATTAATGAAATATTCATCAAACAAATGACTGATATTTAAGTGAAATATTTAAATTTCTTAAAGTTTGAACTAGTTTGCTATCGGGAAATTCACATAATTCACTTCCATATGATGGGTAATTTGACAGTTTTCACATTGAAAGTAAAGCATTTGAATTCAAGGTTCCAGTCTAACTGGACAATGAAACCGTTACTTAAAGTTACATATTCTTTAGTAATATAATGTCTAAAATCACGTATATATGAAAGAATAAATGAAATAAAACTGTGGAAATATCTAATAAGACTTAATTATCTGTTAGTCAGTTTACATACATTAACCATCTGTTCTTACATTCAAATACCATTGGTATAAATTTTGGGATATTTAAGTATATGGTTTGATTTCAACGATTTAAAATCTTCCTATGGACTGCGTAGTATTCAATAAAATCTTTATCCATCCAAAGTAATTGAAGAGAAAATAATTGTGAATCACATAAAGTGAAATGTTATTATTCAATCGTTTCTACCATACGGTTCAGGTGCTTCTTTTTTTTCTCAAGCCTAATAATTCACTATTCTTGAAATGTGTTTTAACTTTAACTCATTTACGAAGTACATATTCGTGTGCTGAGCTTTTAGTCGAAAAGTTTTTATGAGGATACTAGTGTTAATCAGATACTCAACGGAAAATCATTCACACCGTTATAGACAAAATAATATCCAAAGTGAGTCATTTAGGCAATTCAATATGAATTTAATTGAAGTTTAGTCTATAAATCTAAGATTAGAATATGAATGTCGAGTGCAAAACAAGTATTAACAAAATGTAGGTTAAGCTCTGTATTTCAAAAATACCGGTAAAAATAAAAAAAGGTTTCAAAGAATAGCACATGCAAGGCAGAAAAGGTGATCAAAGTATTAGAGCAATGTAAAACACCAAAATAATTGTATTGACAGACGCGATAATTGTCTAGTTATGACAAAGAAAGATCATATGGAGCAACTTACAGCCAATAAAAATGTTTCAGCTGAACTCAAACTACTGAATATTAATAAATAGCATAACATAACACACGAAAAGAACCAGAAGAGTTGGAAAACATTTATCATGTAAAAAAAATTTATCACCACAATATTAGGACGATTCTTTCGGAATTATAATCAACAAAGTAGTTTATGAGTATTACTCTGAACTACCATATTCTTTAAAATTTGGACAGTAAGTTCATGATAGTGTTTAAAGTGCCGGCTCAATGATCCGGTAGGTTAAGAGTTCGCGCGTGAGACTGAAGACCCTGGGTTCTAATCCCGCGAGCGGGATCGTGGATGTGCATTGCTGATGAGTCTCACAATAGGACGAGATGGCTGTCCAGTGCTTCTAGGTTTTCAGCGGTGGCCTAAGATCAATCGTTTCATGATCTCAATCAAAAACTCAATAATCTCCACAACCCCCATACTAATAAACATTTAGAGATAACGCATTTTTATATGACTGAAATGAAGAATGTTAACGTTGGAATAATTGTGTGAGATTAAATGGTTAATTTTAATTAATTATTGATCGTTTTAATGACATTCAATTTCTTCAAAATATTAGACAAAGATTTTGTAATTACGCTGAAATAAACTGATTGAAATCATTGTGTTTCTGTTTGCGAGGTCGTAGATCCGCAACGTTGAAGATGAAGTGGCCATCCTTTCCTTTCGGATTTTCAATGGTTGTCTAAATTAGATCGATTTGAGGTCTGAACTAAGACAACTCGGTTAACAAACAGAACTTCGTGTTTTCCATTTTGTTTTGGTTTTAAGTTATCAATCAGCTCCAACCAAACTTAATGCAAACTTTGTTCATTTGCATTTTTTTGTGTATACTTTCCGTTGTCTTGTGAATTAATGACTAGATTTTAGAGAAGTTATAAACCATTAATATTTGATTATATATACTTTCAAATGTTTTTAACGATTATTAAGAGAGTTGGAACTTAGTAAACGTAATTGTTAATGCTAAATATTGAATAGAAAAGTAAACAGTTCAAATCAACTGTTGATAAACCGCCTGATTATTATATACCAGTAGAATAGCAGTTACATTGTGAATAGCTCATTGTTAGGATCTGTCACTTCACAGATAAATGACCCATTTTTGAGTGCAGGTCGAAGTATGAATGTTTGCAATTCTGAAAATACTCCATGCTAATCTAGGATAATAAGCATATTAAATTTTGATATAGTAAATATGACGTCGATGAACTTAATTTTATTTCAGTAGTGCGATAGTTTTTGTTAAACCTTTGTCAAGAAACAACAGACGAAAAATGATATAGATCTGGACAACACAATACATTAGTTTCTGTTGAGTTTACTAAAAAATGGATATGCTATTTCATGCAAAGTAATCAGTTTATATGAGAGACATGTCATGTTCAGTTTAGTGTTTAGTCTTCTGATAAAAACGCAGAGAAATGAAATCAATGCTTATTATTTTACTCAATGCATTTTATTGGCAGTTTAACAAATTAATAAAAAAGACTAAATGAATGGGATACACATAGTCAGTTATGATATTTGGTCAATCAGACCTATGTCATCTCTGTTTTTGACAATGAATTACAATGCTTCAAATCTACCATCTTCGATTGGTCCGATCGATATTTTAATATAGAGTGAAAGGTTTACGATAATTTAACAAAAAAGCAAAGAAAACAATTCAACTACGTAGAACTAACAGATGATTGACTAATGATACATCATCGAAGATTTACTAGTGTGTTTATGAATGATCGAAAAGTCTACACAATTAATTCAGTTCTTCAAACCTATTGACTAGCAGAGCAAGATTGAAGTGTTTACATTGCATTTAATTGAAACCCTTGAAGAATGGGGACAATTTATGATGAAAACTTTAAACCACAACTATATCATGGTCCTCCAAGCCAACCAAAGACTAAATTCTCTAACCACCCGGTTCTCTACATATTTGGATTATGGGTGACCAAACTCTTACGTTTCGTCAAGTGAAAAACCTCCATTCATTGCCTGTAAAACACTCTGGTCTACTACATGTAAGATGGGAATATACATGAGATATTTTTTATACTGTTTGACTTTGAGTCCCCTTGTGTTAATGTTTTACCTAATAGAAACCATGTATTCTATCAGGAGAAGAATGGAGTACAACATATTGAAGAGCTAATCAACTTGGAGAAGTTAATAAACCAAATAGCAACATTCTTGATTTTCATCCATCACAAGAATAAAAAGTTAATAATCCATCTTCTCATACAAAAATCTGATGGATTCTTGTTTCGAACATTATCAAAAGAAGAGATGACACTGTAACAAAAATACTTATTCGAAAATGAATATTTCATAAAATGAAATTATAAAACCAAACTTTCGTATTTATGATTGTTTATCAATGTTACCAAAATGAATTAAATTCTATGGTCTTCCTTAAAAAATTTCACATAAAATTAGAAAGAAACCACTCACCCACCAAATCAGTAATAATAATAATAACTAAACAGCATAAAAACATTAATGAAAATTAAGAAGCAGCCCATGAAGGAATAAGAGGTTCAAAAATTCTTAGAATATTAAAAGCGATGGATCCAGATTTCATAAAAATAAATAAACTTGTAACTATAATATAACAAGTTTGGAAATATTTTAGTACATGACATTGTTCAAAAGTGTTCACAAATTCACAAAAACTGATAACTAAATTAAAATGTTTTACAAAATGACAAATATCATATACAATATACTAGATTTACTACAAACAATAGAAATTAGATTACATAATTATATGTGGTTCAGAAACAGATTGTGATATTGAATTATGAGGAAGTACAAGTGCTCCATTAAGGAAGAGTTCATCTTTCACAGTTACATCTTCTCCTAGAACTGTAACATTTTCCATTCTTACCTATGAAAAACAAAAATAAAATTTCATAGGCTATAAAAATAATTATTATTTTAAAAATATTCATTTATAACGTTATTCATCTATTCTTATATTCAATATATACTACTTAATTTGAATGTTTATTCATTTGAAAACACAAACATTAGTATAAGAGCCCACTAGTTACATATGTGCCACATAATAACAATGAAGTTGTGAAGAGAAAGAGAATGTAAAAAGAGTATAATAAAGAATAAGAACAACGAACAGAAATAAGTGTATGAAGGTGAAATAATAATAATAAACAGTTCATTTAGAAAAGATACACCCAGAAAGAATTCTTCCAGTTAAAGAAGTTACGTTCACTTTTATAAAGAAAATAAAAGAAAGTCACAAAGGGATCTCCATTGGCCTCTATTCTGAGCCATATCTGAAAACGTCTCCAGCCACTGTGTTGCACCATCTCTCGGACCCCAGCCAGAGAGTCTTGAAGGATCAACAGAATCCAGTCCTGTCCACCTTTCTTTCATATCACGACGCCATATCATACACTGACCACCTCTCTGCTTTTCCCAACCACTCCCAGCGTCGGCAATTAATGCACGACGTGGAATTCTCTGGGACGACATTCGTAGAACATGTCCAAGCCACCGAAGTCGGTGTTTCAAGATGGTGACACCAATTGAATTATCGTCTCTGTGCCCAAACACACGATGCCGAACCTCTGCATTACTAACATGGTGTTGCCACTGAGTGTCAGCAATCCTTCGGAGACAATGATGACCAAACATGGAGACTCGTCTAACATCCTCAACTCGGAGAGGGCAGGTTTCAGAAGCATAGGACAAAACTACTCTCACCGACGTGTTGTAGATCCAAACTTTTACAGCCAGACTCACATCACGAAGGCGCCAAAGATGGCCCAGATTGGCATAAGTCGCTCTGGATTTCACCATACGTGAATCGATCTTATCTCTCACGCCACCACTAGTACTTACACAACTACCCCGATGCACGAACTTCTCAACTACTCCTATCTGCTCACTACCCAGGGTGAGTGCAGGTTCAGGGTCCTGAAAGTCTTGTAGAGGCACTTTGCACTTTGAAGGTGTAGACTATACCGTACTTCGGACGTTGATTGTCAACTGACTAAGTGTGGATTGAATAGCTTGGGTATCGTAGCACAGTAAGACAATATCATCCGCATACTCGAGGCCGGAGTGTCTCTCTCCAGGCAACAGATCCACATCACCATTACCTATATCTATCAGAGCTGTTTCCAGAATATTGTTGATGGCAAAGTTGGAGAGGAATGGTGAGATTAGGCAACACTGGCTAGCCTTATTGCTTGAATGGAACAATGGAGATAGGTGAATGTATGCTCTCACTCTACCTGAGGTGTTTGTATATAGGGCTTTCAAAATGTTAATAAACTTCTCAGGCACATTGATGTGGAGGCCCGTAGCTTGATTTTGTCCTCATCTAGATCGACGATATTCGTTGGAGGGCTCACCACTTTTGGTGGCCCGTTGATCTGACTCCATTTAGAGTGTACGAATGAATGTTATCGCCTTTTCTCGTTTATCATCGTCGACTTAAATCGCGTTATCCAATAACGGAATTAAATAAGTCGAATAACGAGAATTGATTTGTGAATACATATATTTTGTACACGAAGCGAATGAAGCACAGCAAAGCAAAAATCACACGTATGGAAGATGGCTGGGAAGCCAACTCCATTTTAATTAAGCGTTACTCAGTATTTATAGTCAGACAAGATAAGCTACAGACATACAATGAATCATGGGACATGAAGTGTACACTCATATACGCTCATATAAAAAACAGTCAAGACTGACAAGCGAATAATTGACAAGGTCAAAATATGGCTCAAGTAAAATGAATAAAATAGGATGTCCGGAAGTTAGAATAAAGGTATATGGGCTTGCCATAATACCTGACACTACAACATCCTTCTACAATAGACAATCCCACAGAACAGTCCTGTCCAACGAATCGAACACAGCCCTGATGTCAAGATACACTGTGATTGTTGGCCTTTGATATGTATGACGTAGTTCTAACATTTGGCGGAGGGTGAAGATGCGATCAATACATTCGCAACCAGAGTTAAAACCAGCCTAATCCTCACGAGTCAAGCTTTCTCGAGGTTTGAACAATCTACGAAGTATGACAGAAGCCAATAGTTTGAATGCAATCGGAAGTAGACTAATCTCCCGATAGTTGTTGAAGAAAAGACGTGAACCTTGTTTAAAGACAAGAATTACATGTCAATATTTCAATTTTCGATAACAAAAGTGACAATTACTAATCTCGTTTGACAAATGCATTTATATACACGAATGATATACTTTATTTCAGGCTGAAAATACATTAAATATATTAGTAGAATAAATTACCTCTAGAACGTTAATGAATAAAATATTTTGAGTATTAGTATCACATTAGTTTTGGCAAACTTTTGTAAAGAAATTTGTACAAAACAGTATTATGGTGAAAAACTATATGATATTTAATGTTTTATTTTTAGAAGGGTTTTAAGTTTTTCACTGCTTATATTTGAAAATTATGTTTAATTAGTCTGTTAGTAAATGGGATTGAATAAAAATGCACCTAGTTGATAAATCCCAAAATAGGATGACAAGCATGTCTTTGATTAAACTGCTAGCTGATATTCGAAGTATAATTTTTAACTGATATTTTAATTATATAAACAGAGAGATAAGATACAAACAATACTGTGAACAATTATTTATCAAAATGATAGAACGATCACTCAGCCTTAATAAATATATATATCTTTGATCCTGATATGTTAGGTTTATTTAAAAAAGGTATTGTATATCAAATTCACTATTAATCGATGATTACTGCCCATGTACAGTGGGGATATTAGATGGGCACTTTGAGAGTTAGGCGAAGAACATGCTGGGTATATATAGTCAACTGATTGATAAGGTTGTGAACATTTACAGACTGAAGTGGTCGATACTTGAATTACACAGTATTCAACCACCCAAAAAACTCCATATACAATATCGTTCAGTAGTAACGAGTAGATTGGAAAACAGTTAGGGTGACTTAAATAACATATGGGATTAATCAACCGGGTATCTAATGGTTAGTCTGATCTGTATATTGAAAGATGTAAACTCTCTGATTTAGAACAATTCAAGAATTTTAATCAGTGGTTGGAAACTATGGAAAATACGGGTCAAAATAGAAGTAGTCATTCATTGTTTTCCTGTTCAAATTGTTTCTTTAATATTATTTTATACCTTTCCCTCTCAAATTTGATAATTTTTTTCTCAACATATCTTTGGCAAGAGTAGTTTCTCTGCTATCTTTGGAATTACTTTTCTAACTTTTTCTTCATTTAAATTGTTGATTCCCACGAGATATTCTGATAGGAATTGTAGTAAATTGTGCTAGTCCATATCTGTTTGAGGTCATATGTTGTTTGTGGCTGACTGATCTATTAGCTTTGTCTAAAAAATAATAATTCTTTTCAACTGAAAAAAACATAGTGTCCTACAGTTTGAGAAATTTGACTAGTAATATTATGCAATGAACCCAATGATCAAGCATAGACTTCATTCCATAATTAGATAATCATCGAGAGAGTAACGTAATATAAAAATCTAATAAAGTTTAATTATTTGGTTAAAAAAGATGTGAGTATAGGTCATAAGTTGTTACCAAAATACTGAATACGAACTATTGAAGTATCACTGATATTTAGTCTGAAGTTGAACAATCTTATTAAAAGTACACTAAAAAGTTCGATACTGTCATAGTGATTAGTCACATGTTGACCTTTTACATGATTTACTTTGAAAGTTAGTATAATGAAATTACTGTGTCTGGTAACATTTAAGTTGTTTCTTTTTAGAGTAGTTATCTTGATGTGACGATTCTGAAATGATTAAGCCAATTACATTTATTCATTATCCAGTAAATGATAGATCCTGTAAGTTTTTTTTTGAAAAACTAAAAATGCAGACGAACTCTACATGAGGGCAAATCATGATGTGGGATCATTTAGTGAAATGATGAACTGTTAATCCGAGCCATGGTGATGGGTTGAGACCATTTGATTGGCGTCTGTGTAATTATCATGACGGATAGTTGAAGACTTTGGCTGATACATCTCAGAATAGGATTTAGTGTTGCTGATCCATTCATTCTATGTCTTAATCTAGATCTTGAGCTCTAATATCCATTCATATTTACTTTTTCACTCTTTCTTCTAGAACGATATCCTCAATGTTTAGTCTTTTCTACTACTATCAGTTACTTCGATTCCTTTACTATTTGATTATGTTAATTCCGTTCGGACGTGATATTATAGTATACAGACCTGCGATAATACACAAATGTACTATCTTCGATAGTGCTCATAACTGACTGGCAGCAAACTGAAAATTTGAGGATTATCACCAATATATCATAGAAAAGTGTAGATAATTTTTATATGATTAGTATGATAATCTCCTCGAATTTCGAAATATCCCTGTTCCACATAGATGGACAGATAATTTTAAATATCACAAAACGGAAAACATGGTCTGTTCGCTCATACTTCACGGTACGATACAATAATATAAAACTAATAATAGGAAAACACCACTGGTAGAGAAAAACTGGAAAACGAGGCAAAGAAAAGTATAAACGCAAGGAAACAAGAGAAATACGGTATTTCAAACTGATCCATTCATAATTAATTTGAATCAGTAACCAACTAGTTGAAAGCAGAGTCAACGAATTTAAATGCAGATAATCAAATGAAAAGCATGTAACTTATCTATTCCTTATTAAATTTTAAGTGAAAAGGGTTTAAGTAAAGTGTTACTGTCAAAAAAGTTTAATGAAATTTACTAAATGTGTAAATTTCCCCAGTAAAGTACGAATAAATTAACTAGACATAAATCTATGCTCCCATTTCATACTGAGCTTATACTCCAATAAATATATAAAATGATATCTCCTGAATATCTAAATTTAGGATGATGATTCAAAATCAAACTTTTAGTTTTTATAAAAGTATGAAAAACAAACAAACAAAGAACCATATCGAATTTTGTAAATGAAGTGCTTTAAACAAAAGTTTTCACAACGTAATGATACTGAGCACAAATATACATGGTAACACTAATCAGTGGCAAGAAAATTTCATAGTTATGTTAGGTGGATGGAGATAGTCGTCAGGATACCCTAGACTTAGGTTTTGTGGTAGTCGGTCACTAGTCGGAAACCCCCATCTGGAGTATTGATGGAACTTACGTTCCCTATGAGATTTAAACCTTCATCACCCAGTTTTGCAGATTGAGACGTTATTACTGAGCCAGTCGGGTCGCGATTGGCCTTCTGTAAAACTGAGATATTTACAACTGATTGATAATTTAACTGGTTTGTAGTTTAACGAGGACATTTCTCAATTAAACTAATATGGAAAGAATACTTCTGCAATCAAATTAACCTACCCATTTTCCAACAACTGATCTCCCGCCAACAATACAATTATTTAACCAAGAATGAGATTTAATGATTGATTTTGAAAAGATAGCTGAGTTAGATATACGTACTCCATCTTCAATTATGACACCTGCACCGATGGTCACATTAGGGCCTATTCGACAACCGTGACCTATTTTTGCAGTTTCATGCTAAATAAAGTTTGATTTAAAAAAAAAGAAGTGAGAAAAGAGGAGCATATTAACCGAATTTTATCGAATCAACAAGACAAAAAACATTTAGTGGTGTTCTACTCTTTTGAAAAACACCAGACATTGATGATGAACAGTTACTCCACTCTTCAGTGTATATATAGCCCAGCTTGATAACTGACCAAGAATTACCATGTGGAAATACTCCCATAAAGTATTTAGATAAAAATCGAAGTTACTTTTTTATTATACTTAAGTACATACTGTAAACTTTCAACATGTTTTAATATTTCTCTAGAGAAAATAACGTGCGTGACATTTTAATATTTAGATTATCTACGAAAATGTTACGAATGACTAGATAAAAATCATATTCCTGAATAACTGTCCTCAAAAGTTTTAACAATTAAAAATTGTTAATCAAACTTATGTTTCAGGTGACCTGGTGTTTTATTATTCGCATAGTTTGTCAGTTGACATTTCACCTTCGACTGAGAAAATATAATCAAAACGAGATATACATGAATGTGAAGCTGAGTAGTTCTTTGAAACGGGTATGATTCCGCATCAGAAATACATTAGTTATCCATGGTAAAGATTTCACGAACAAACCATTGGAAAAGAATAGGACTTTGATTTTTAACTTCTTATCCATGATGTTCTTTTATACAGACTGTATCTATTTCTATACTTTTTAGTTTTAAATTCCGATTGTTCATACTATGCAAATACAAATGATAAAATATTGTAGCATTTTACGACTAAACAATGGTCATAAAAGCTTAGCTAAGAAAGATAATTGTATTGAACAAGTAAAATTCTTTAGAGTTTCTATGGGTATTTTCGTTTCCTTTCACCGTAGAATCTTGAATGAAAATTAGAAAAAGAGAATGTGAATAATAAACTCGATTCATGGCAACACACTGACTCCACTATGAACGATTATGAATGAACCGTGAAATATAAACTCTACGTTAGGCTAACCCTCTTGGTCAACAGCGGTAACAAAAGCCAAGTACAAATTGAGTTGGAAGAATTTATTTCGGGTATTCATTTATTCAGACAGGCTGTAAAAGATGAATCCAGAAGGAAGGCTTCCCAACCTACTTCATTTTATTAAATGTAACTAAACAGGGAACGAATATATTAAGTGATAACTAAGCACACGCATACATACGCCCATATAAAAACAATGACAGTTGCAATCGAATAATTGGCAAATGCAAATACATGTGTACATAGAGATTGGAAAAACTTGGATTAATTTAGAAAAGATGGACTTTGGCTAGCATTGGAATTCAGGACGTATACTTTGTCCTGTTTGAGGACCGTCAGCTGGGTGCACCTGGATCCCAGAGTTGATATTTACCCTGGAAATTGAACTCAATGCCGTTCTCTTGAAACCCCATAATGTGATTTACGTAGCTACTAAGTTGATCATTTATGCAATGGATATGTGTTTTAGTTCAACATGAAACGGTTTGGACTATCCAGTTTTTGATCTTTTAACTGGAATTTGGTCATTCTTTGCTGGAGCGGACGTTACGGGGTTCAAGTCCGGGAGTGAACATCAACTCTGGGATCCAGGTACGTCCAGACGACGAAATCCATATTGGATAGAACGCGCGTTCTGAATTTTACTCCTTGCCATATTCCATTTATTCTATATTAACTTGTGTCATGATGACTTTGTCGAGGCAATCTACAGAGGATGCACATATCCTAGCCAAAACTGATCGAATTCCAGTCAAAATATTAACAAGGGGATAATCCTAATCACTTCAAATTCGATTGGATCAATTCTTTTATCAAAGAGATAACATAAGTCTCTTGAGTTTCATAAGGAGTCGATACGGGCATCAAAGATTTTATTCAATCATACAGTATATAATACTACAACATTATCGCATAAATTAAGTCTAAAGACAGGACGAATGGCAGTTACTCAGTGTTTGATGAATCAAAGGTAAAGGGATTTGACGTACAACCAGTTAAAGCGAAGAGCATTTGTTCATACTGGACGTTCGCTGTAAATAACTCCAGTTAATTAACACGTCATGACACATATTTGAAAAAAATTAAGACTAGCTCTATCTAGTTTTTATTCCTCTGTTCAAGTAAATGCTCATATTAAAGATGAATCCCATGCACATGTATAAAGAAAGGATGTCGACTATATGTGTTCGAATAAATTTCCAAGTAAAAAAAATTCATTTTGAGATGTAAAGTGGTTGGTTGACTGGAAACCCTGCAGACATAACAGCAGTATTGTTGGGAACTGGTGATCCCTGACGGCTTTGATTCTGTCACCTAGCTTTACAATCAAACACGTAGGTACTGAGCTAATCGAATCTAACATAACTGCGAATGGATTTTAAGAATCAAAGGAATAAGTTGTCTTTGGACTTTAGTTTAAGTTGTGTTCTAGCTAAATATTAAATATATTAATTATGATAAATAAATAATTCGGTTCAGTAACCTCTTAGTGTTGTTTGGAGGTAGAGTTGTCACCCATACACCGTAAAAACGAAAGATACTACTGGGTTCCTTCAGACACATCTAGGTTTTATAAAACACCAATGATTGATCTGTGATCTGAACGTGTTCATGTTATTTTTTCTAATGAAAAAGCAATCCCAAAATGTTCTCAAAATCTATACACATCTCAATCAAGAAAAATAGGAACTCTCTTTATATGATTTGCATATGACAGTCTTTTGAGTGGAAAAACCAATTATATCCACATGTAAATGAAATGTTTATTAACCGTAAATAAAAACTCACGACAAGAACATTTCCTATCAAATTCGGATCAACTGTTAACAAAGGTGATTTACATTCATATAAATGGCCCAAATATAATCGCATGCCCGTTAGATAATCTGCAGGTTGACCAATATCCATCCAAAATCCTTATGTGAAAGCAAATAGTCGAGTGAATTCAGTAGAAAATTATTTATATTAAAGCATTAAAGTAAACATTTTCAAAAATGATTAGGCAAAGGATAATTAATATTTATATCATAACAGTTGACAATAAACTGTTTTGTAGACTTTGAATATTCAGGTTAATAATAAAAATGTAGACTGGAAATTTTAAAAACATTGTAACCACGTGCAGCAGTGACAATAGAATAATGTAATCTAGTATAAACTGTAATTATACCACAGGCTTGATTTAGTGATTAGGTTTATTTTATGGTAAATTCAAGTGAGTTAAATATGGTGATGGTATATCCTATTAAAATGATCTAATCCAAACTAAATAACGATCAGTGTGATATTCAAACACAACGAACTAACAATTTGACAAAATGCTTGGTATAATATCACTTGATAATCGAAATCAGCTTTACGAATTATGATTTCCAACCACCCGCCAAGTTCATGTAAGATGCATACGACTAACAAAATATTATATATAAATACTTTACTCATGAAGTACCAAAACATGTATTTTGTGCGAACAAACATTATAAACATCACAACGGGCAGTATAAAAATAATTACCGTCATATCAGACATTGATATTTGGCTTTTATATTCACAGAAATGAAAACAATTCAGATGGACTGTCTGTACAAGGTATCATGTATCTAATAAAACTCAAACCATCTGCCTTAGTTACTGAAACAAAACACCATAAGAACAGGGTACACATGTTCCAAAAGTAACATGTCATGATACTAAATGCATATCTTACATATTATTCACCTCAATCCGAATATTGCTTAGGTGTCGAAAAATAAACAATATTAAAATGCATTTTATCACTATTATTTGAAAAATAGATAACTTAGAATGCAAGACGTATACTATATCTTAATCACTAGCTTTTCTACATAACTAGCTACTGAATACTTACTTTGTTTGCTAAGATCTAGATCTGCTGAAAAGCAGATATATTCCCTGAAAATCACAAAACACCTGACACAGACCTCAAGAAGTTACGTTTCTACCATTTCTGTGGTATAACTATTGATACCTTAAAATGATATTGGTTAAATCTTTAGATGCAGATGTACCCATGGTTAGCATTTTGGATAGCTGAATAAATAATTTTAAAGTCCATGACAAAGCATTTATTGTAAATATCGTATTTACGTGCAGAAAATATGACATTATTAAATAAAGCCACATAAATTCATCTGATGAGTCTCAACTCAAAACTTTCGAAACCGGCTTCAACAAAATGTTTCCAGTGGTCACAAACGGTAAGACCGAAAAAGGTAAAACTGTTTACAAGATAACGATATTAGAAAATTTTATATAGTATATGTGCTTCATTATTTAATACTGTTTTATGACTCTACTGTGGTGTATGAATTCAAGTGGTTTACTAACAGCATTCTAAGTATCTGGAAGTATTCGCATAACATTGGAGTAATAGCTCAGTTACTAAAGAATTCGACTCTCAGCCAGTACAGCCCAGGTTCAAACTTCAACCTACCTAACGCTGTTATTGTTATTATCAACTGCCCAAAGTTAGTTAAACTAATTTGCACCTGGAAAATTAGTTGATAGTAAAAACATTCATATAAAAATTAGTGCGTCTAAAATCACCACGTTATTAAACCTCTGCTGTACATACCCCTTAATCTAATTTTAAGTCCTCGTTTCTGTCATAAAATTTTACCGACTAACTTGAAAAGTACAATAAACGGTTACAGGTTCTCATATTCCGCTGTGATCCTCACTTTGTGTGCCGGCTAATGATATTATTCGAAATCGCCAACCGAAGTATTAACACGAATTCTAGAAGCACTAATTTAGTGACTTGACGTTGAGCAGAGTTGGTGTTTTTCGAGTCTACCACGGTTAAGTGACTCTGAAAAGCGGCTTTCCAGATAAGCTTATTTGAAACCGTTACATAACTAGAGCATCCGACATTACGTTCAGTTACCTTTCCGTTAAACTTGAAAACAAAGACGTTGCAACTTATAGATCAAGAATTATAAAAATCATTCACAATGTTTGATCATTACTAGCTGACAGTTTTGAGTACAATGCTCAAAAAATGCAAATCAGAGGGATCATTTGTCTCTCTGAGGATGATTTTAAAGTTTGGGAATTCTAGCCAATATGTGTTGCAGTTCTTAATGTTTCAACCTGAAAGTTGCTAATCAACAGTGGTACCATGGCTTTGTGTGTTTGACACCTAATGCATTTCATAACAAGTGAAACACTATGTTCCGAAAATGTATGAGTTACACTTACACCTACGATAGTTCAGAGAAACGCATAAAGCTTGTAATATTATTCTCAAAATGCATACACTTATAACCACAGAACATTAAAAATGTGTTAAATAGTATCTGAACGTTTTCAAATCGCGCTAACTAACATCAAGGTATAAGTGACTGATATAACACTGTAAAAGCAGAATATTAATGAATTTCTCAAAAAACAAGGTGTTTAAAAACCTTCACTCATATTCGAACAAATTCGGTTGACAGTTATGAGACATTTGTCTAATCAGGTGCTGGTAGTTATATAAATTCTTCATCAAAAGGTTTGAACAAAAGATTGTTCTAAGAACAATAGTCAAAGTGAAAGTTGTACTCTGGTCTGAGATTTAGTTCAAGGTCTACCTTGACAATATTTTCTTGCTATGATAATGTAGTGGAACAACTTGAACTAACGCACATATGTATCAGGTCCTACGTTGAGAGTGATGGAGTGAACAACAAATGGATTTGTAGTGTGAAATGATATCATACTGGTAAAGTCTTCAGGAAACCACTACTTACCTGAGAACTCAATGCAGTACAGTTCAGAATCCCTCACCATTGCTGGAAAAACAGCTGTTTCAATGGACATCGGCTTGGCCTGTAAATAACGGAATTTGCAAATAATGTCACCTCAATACGCTTGAGAATGGTAGGCTCAAAAATGTAGAGTCCAGCGTTAATTCTGTTAGCGACATATTCCGATGGTTTTTCGACAAAACGTTTCACAAGACCTGTTTGATCATTGTGCACCACAGCACCATACTTTGACGGCTCTTCAACTTTTGTGACCTAGGTATTTGAAACTAAGAGAAACACATTTACTGCCATTGTACCCTCTTTTCCATGAGATAAGTGGAATTCTAGCATTCGTTTGAAAGGATAATTACAAATGATATCGCTGTTTAGAACAAAAAACCTTTCTCCTGCTAAAAATGGCGCCGCCTGTGCAAGTGGACCTCCTATAATAATCAGAATAAAAGGAATGAAAGACACATTACCTGTGTCCAGTGCTTCCTTTTCGTAAGAAAATACAATTTTTACACTGGTGTTTTGAATTACCTTACAAATACAAGTGCACAGTGATTGACGCTTACTTTATCACAACTTTCTCTTATACTCGATTCCAAAACTTCAGCTTCACGGTTGATTGCAAGGATAATTTCAGTAATGTCAACCTATAATTAAAACAGAATATAGTCTATTTTACTAATACTTCAAGTAAAGCTTTGATTTGATGTAGTAACATTGGTTTGTTTGCGAATTCGACTAGTGGTTTGGGAATACTAAGTGTTAAGGGACGTAATCTAGTGCCATAACCGCCGATTAGTATCAACGCCTTCATTAGTGCGCGGATAACAGACGACAGGAAAATGGGTGGCCTTGAAAAGTTCCCTTTCTGTGAGACGATAAAACACATTTTATCGTAGTTTAAATTTTTGAAGTAACAAGTGCATATATAGCCTATAAATGTCTGGAAAAACACTCGCATGTTCACTAATACCGTACATTTTGATCACAGTAGCTCGAATTCTACCCTTTTGTTTGATTTCTATTGGATTATAGCTAAGACATTCCGACAATAATAGTGTTTGCATTTCATGATGATCACCACCCCTCTTACTATGTCGCTCTGTAGTGATGAGCTGCAAGGCTGGGCCATCCCACTTACTGCTTTGAAAGCTATTATATGTATAATTGTTAACGCCATATTACTGAAACACCTATCCACCTTCATGTTAATCGGAAGCAGACCAAGGCTCTGACACGACTGGTAACTTCAAAACGTAAAACGCCTACAAATTATCCAAAAAATAGTTGAATTTTCTCCTAAGTAATTACGAATTTCTCAATTTTTAAAAAGATAATTATGGATTTTTCTAGATTATATTAATTATAATTACTCCTAAAACCAGGTACCATTGGGTATTCTCTTGGATGCGTTTTTGTGTTTACTAGTTCGACCCAACTTTATTAAGTTTCCTCTATTATAAATTAAATATACTAAAATATTCAGTCGGCTACCTTAACTAGTTCTACAGACGCCTGAACTATTTTTTTATTTCTTAAATTATTTTAGTCACGAGTCAAACGCTATTTCGAACTACAAACTATTGTTACGCCAGTTCAGTTTTGCCAAACAGCACGAGTGACAAAGTTCAGGATTCGTCATTGAATTCGGGCATTGTGATGTAGTGAATAACGACGTTATGAAAGCATTTCTCTTCAATTATTAGCAAGCTACAGACTAAGCGCTGATCGATGTATAACTAGACAACACAAGCCTTTACAGAGGCGGATAGTCTGTCAGCCTTACGATCTATTAACAGATGACAAGCTGCCTATCAACTGCTGATTCAATTCTGAATGTTAGTGAAACAACAATTTTATCACTGTTAGCTGGTAGAGTCAGGAAATCAAAACAGAGAATACTTTCTTATTTCGTCAATAAATAGGCATGAAATATGATGTACTGTCTGTTTCTACAACCAACGTTTCCTTAAAACGGAATTTATGTACTTAAAAACAAACAATCAGTTCACATGGCAACAACCGGATTTGTAGACACTATACTAACATGACGACTTCTAGTAACAAGAAAACGTAAATGTAATGTACTTGAATAAAGAGGCCGATGCAATGATTAGGTATAATGTAAAACTAAGTAAGGCATCGATGAATCATATATATATATATATATATATATATATATATATATATATATATTGGAACCAGCGTCCACGGTTTTTAGTGAAGGGGAACAAAACTTTACTGCTCATCATCCGAGAAAGACGCGTGCCACTGTGTCAGTGGTAATTTCCTTTGGTGGATACTGCTTAAGGCCATCTGTGAAACGGTCTGTACACGTTAAAGTGTAAATGTTCATTTAAATCTAATAAGAGTCCTACTACATGAAGATGAACACGTTCAAAACGAGCGTCGGAAGTTTTGGAAGAGCGCAAAGGACATTCCTTGTGTCTAACCACCATTTATTTCTGACAGTTTACACAGGAGCGTACCTACTTCTTCACGTCTTTACCCCTACCACGGTAATAAAATCTCTCTGTGATGTAACTAATGGCTGTTCGGACATCAGGATGCAAACGTCTGTTCAACTGTTTGATGACATCGTATCGATGGTTTTTTAAAACTTTAGACGATCCCTATCTGTAGATCTGTCAAATATTTGACCTCGAACATCAAAGTATATATCAAGACATTAGACAGTTTCCTTATCTGTTGCTACATATCGGCGTGAATATTCTTTCATAAAGTTCAGAATTTGTTTATTTACTAACCTTACTTGAGCAATATCTTATCTGTAAACCGTTGTTGTAAATTATTGATCATGCCTCTAAAAATGGCATGTGCCTGCTATTTTTTATTACTAATGATAACATCAATCGTATTCACATGTACCTTATATTATCCAATGGGTCTGTAATCAGCATGTTCTATTACATCTCAACCTACTTGTGTAAATTATTACAGTAAATGCCGTAAAATTCCTAATAGAGCATGATACACGCCATTTTCACGAGCATGAATAATAATCTTCAACACTGATTTGCAATCAACATGCTTCCCAAGCAAGGTTGTTAAAAAGATAAAGGCAATAAAAATGAGTAACAGTATATTGGTGCGAATATACTGACGGTTTTTATATTCTGTTTCTAAAAAGGCATCGCGTTCACATTGTGTCCTGGAGAAGCACACAACAGATCCTGACTCGATACCTGTGTGTAAAAATGGTGGTGTCATTAAGAATTTACGACATAAAAATGTTTAGGAAGTCCATTGACTAAGTATTGCGTCTTTCCAGTCTTTTGGCAGTCTGTACTGCCACAGTATGGCTATAGGTTTAGCAATTACGTTCGACAGGGCTTTCATAATCCTAGGATGAATATCATTAGGAACACTCGACTTATCAGGTTCGAGATGTCGAATTAGTCTTAAGACAGTACCTTGCTCAACAACTTCAGGGTCCATCAACAAGCTAAAAACACAGTTAATCGTTAGTCGTTCCTCATTATCGATAGAAAACACTTTACTAAAATATTAGATAAAGCTTCAGCCTTTTCGGCATCATTTTCTGCCAAGATTAACGGATTTTCTTGTATCAAAAGTGATGGAATTCCATCGTCTCTCTGAGTTCGCCTTTTTATATACGAGAATAACCGTTTCGGACTATATCTAGAATCCCTAACCAATTATTTTTCGTATGATAGTCTAGTATTACTTATTAACGCTTTACAGGTATTCCTAATCTTACAACAACTGGATCTGTTTTGTTCTAAGCCAGTAGAGATGAACATATTCCAGTGCTTCTTCCTTTTTCTAAGACATTTCCTGACTGTTTTCGTAATCCATGATGGACTGTTATTCGGTCTTCGCGGTGCCAGTTTTGAAATGAACGAGGACGTAACTTAACTGAACTTACCTTTAAATACAAACCATGCTTCTTCAACTGATAAGCTAGTATCTACAAACCAGTCTGTCTTAGCAACGCATTCCTGAATGGCTGATATGTTAGCTTTCCATACATTTGGGCGGGGTGTGAACTGATCGTATAACATGTCCCTAGTTCTAAATGTGAATGACAAAACAGCGTGATCGCTGTTCACTAATGTTGGAAGAATATTTAGGTCGACAATATCCCTAGTCTCATGAGTAATTACCAAGTCCAACAGAGAAGAACCTTGGTTAGCACCGAAACATGTGGGTTCGGATATATGCTGCGCTAATGCATGCTCTATTATTGTTATCAGGAACCTGCTGTCAAAGGAGTTTACAGATCATTTCGTGTCCATCTCAGTCCAACTAATATCAGATTCATTAGTCTCTTTATATGAAACATCTGTCATTTGCACTTCATAGCTGAATGTGATCTAAACTTAAGTCATCCGCTAAGCAGATTGGGTTGCGATAGATGATATTGATTATAAATGTGCAACATCCGATGGTCAGCTCACAGCAAATGGCTTCACAATTTGCACTATCATGGGATTCGAAAGCAAAGGAGAGGATATTTATATTACTAACTATGTAAAAAGGACGCCACCTCCTTCCCTACACTTATGTCTATCATTTCTTAGGCAGTGGTATTCGGAAAATTCTGAAGTAACGAGCAAATCATGGACTAACCAAGTCTTCATCATAGCTACAATGAGTGGTCTTAATTTGCTCACTGATACTCCTAGTTCATATAATTTACTTTTAGACTACAAGCACTAGCTTACATATCCATTACTCAGTACAAAGTGATTGGTTGAACGATTGCTGCATAATTTTTCTGTAAATGTCTTTTAGGTGTTTCGCTCATTAAAACGGTCTCATGTAGTTGAAAAACGGACATACGGCTTTTGATAACCTAATATTTTGTCCCGAGTTCCTATTTAATTAGTATCCATTTGTGAAGCATTCGTTAGTCATAAATTATGGGTTTCAACAATTGCGCAGTATGAATTATTTGTTATATCATTTCGTCTAAGCAGCACCTTCATTTATTTGAAGGTTTTGAGTTGTCGAAAATAGTGAGTTTAATTGGTCATGTGGACCAGATGATTAACCACTGCTAACCTTTTTAGGCACCATATTGAACGGAGATGACTATGGGTTATCAGGTGGACGGATTTTTTTCAGTCACTTTCACCAGCAACAACAAATAAGTAGTTCACGAGTCTGCTTAAACTCAAGTTACGGTAAGCCTACATTTAGCTGTATGTGACAATCAGTTTTCTATCTTCCTCCTGCAGATTGAGGATAGGGTCTCGTATACGACTGTTAGAACTTGCAAAAATAATGCCAATGACAACATACTCACACCATTACATCTATGATGCACAAAACATGACTAAATCTACCGACTACAATTACTGTCACGCGTGCCGGGGGAGTTTCCCGAAGTTTGTTGTAGATGTCTTGAGATTGGGAGAAATTTAGGGATTTACGCAATCTCTGGACGACTTGTCATAGGTAAAATGGTGGGAACGCCAACCTGGGTTATTTGTTTTCCGCAGTATAGAATCACATCTCTTGCGTATTATTTTCTTACACAGAGAGTACATCAGCCATGTCTCACAATTTGCGATCATTTATAGGTTAGGAGTGAAGCTACACCCAGGATTTCACGTGGGTCGCCGCACAAGAGTGATTCAAGTTATGAAAGTAGCAAAATCTGGATTACCTGGAAAGACAATCCTCATAAACTACCCTCATCCTAAAATTTTGCATGTACATTTGTGGACTTATTAAAACGTAACACTTTCACAGGAGTTAGAATAAGTTTATTTTTAGGCTCTTGCTGATAACTATTTTCCGTGTTATCACAAAGTATGATAATCC